TGTAACATCACAACATAGAAAGACACACTATAAAATATCAATTGAAATGGCTTAACTCAATCAAAAGACATATTAACAAAAACAAGTGAACATGTATATACATGTATATCTTACACAGAATGACCAATGTATTACAAATTACAACGAAATTACAAATCAGAGGTTCTGAAATATGATATCAAGCGTCATGTGAGTATACTGCACAGTGTATTGCGTTCTCATAGCCATTGCTTACCAACTTCCTGCATGTTTTCCGATTACCTGATTACCTGTATATTCCTACACATAATGGCTTTGTGTGAAATTTCGTCGCATTTTCTCAGGAAATACAAATCAGAGCTTCCTGAAATTTGGTATCAAGCTTCATGTGAGCATGTTATGCCATTTGATGCGTTTTCACAACCATTGTTCATCCAATGTCTTTTTACAGAAACTACTTATATAGTGGTATCATTAAGTGATTATTAATTTATTTTTCTATTGTTTTTTTTTATGACAGTGTGTTTTCGTTTTTTTTTTCTAAACTAGCAGTTAAAGATATCTGTCATAGAAATAGGACAAAAAGGGTGTAAAGTGACGAGTTTTATTCAGTTATGATAAGAAATTCTGATTTAAGGTTAAAGTTGCTTGCAAACTAACAACCTACTTCTCCGACAAAAATAAACTTTCAAACAAAGACAAGGAACAACACGTGGAACAGTAAGGCTCCCTTTGTGCAGGCACACAAGTAATGGGGTCAAACCAGTTTTGTATACTCCTTGGCTTATTTCCTAAAAATGAAATACACAAGACAACAGAGAAACTATTAATAATGAAAACAATAGGTCCTGCAATTTATGCCGACCGAAAGGAATGGCCAATAATTTGGACTGCCAATGGGAAGTAAAAGATATATTGGATAAAAGACAGTAATCGTTTTTGCAACTGGCCACCTACAAACCCCTCATAGTTGTTGCAAGGGCTCTCTATCCAACACGAGGCGTTAAATATCACGTCACCTTCCGACAGGACGTGGTTGCGTATTTATACATCCGGCATAACAAAACGAACGCCAAACTTTTGCAGGGTTGTTACTTCTTGTCGGAAGAAGACCAAAGTGACCATATTCCTATACCACAGTCACCTTTGGGATAACCATCCATCGAGGAACGATTTTATTTGAATTATTTAGAATATCACACATGTACGTAATCGTTGCTGTTGAAAGATGCAAGAACATGTAATTTCAAGTAACAAAATATGAAAAATTATGCATCAAAACGCCTCCGCCGTTTGGTGAGGCGGAAAGCAATTACAACCAGAAGTGAATATTCTATATTAGCTAATGGGTCATCACAGTATGTGTGTATTAATGTTAGCAGAGAAACAACGACAGTTACTGTATTGCATCCGTATTAGGGATGATTTGTTCATATTATTTAATAAATGTGTTGAACTGATTTTTGCCGATTGATTAAGTTTAAATCCGTTTACTTTAATAACTATAATCATTCATGTTCTTTAACGATATTAGCCTAGAGAGATTATTTGAACCAATTTGATTAATAAACACGTTCATTAGTTTAATATTTGTCTTTGTAGTTACATACGTACCAATGAACGAAAATCCTATGAGACGCCTGTCTGTTCAACTGATTAGTTCGATAGGGCATGCGAAGTGGATTGCAAACCATGATAATATAATGCACTATACATGCCATTATAAAATCATTTTATTATTGCTTTTAAATCTATTACAAACTTGTTTGAAATGCTGATTTAAATTTTACCGTATTACAAACTCAGAACAATAATACAATGAAAACGACATGGTACAATGATTGTAGCCAAAGTATAATATCATGAAAACGGCATGGTACTTTGTTTTCTTATAGAAAATGAATACTAAAGCAAACGCCATGGTGCAATGTGTTTACATATAAAATATTGCAACGAAAACAACATGGTACTCTGTGTTTAGACAAACAATGATACAGTAAAAACGACACAGTATACTGTGTGTTTAGAAGTGTAACACGTAATACCAATCTCAATGCGCATGACTAAGTATTGCGCGCGAGATAAAACGTTTTGGAAGCGTAGACCAGACCTCTAAAGAGACAATGGATATTCAACATAATACTGTGTAAATACTTTCATTTATGAATTTCAGTTTTAGTTGATTTTCCAAATAATATGTCTTAACATTATTTTACGAACTTTTAAGTTTAAGCAATGCAAATAATACTGTGCACTAACCTCAAGACATAAAACACAACATATTGATATCTATGGATATATGTTTGTGCTGTATTTAGACCCCTCTACCAAGAAATTTCTTTTGCATGCAAACGTATAAAAATTGGGGTTTTTATCCAACGCAATCATAGGTTTGAACGTTGTTTTCAATTTAGACTTGTTCATATTTATTCGTTTGGGCTTGTATTATATTTTCCTTCGGGTTTATATGATCCGTTCTTTCTATTTCGACACTTCAAAATTCAAGAGATTATCCCAAATTGAGGTAAATTATATGGCCTTCCAAATACCGTTTCGATTCCTAACATCACTGAAGAGACATTAATTTCCGAAATCTGGATATGGTGTACAAATTTTTGCACTTCATGTTTGCGGTATACCATCTTTTCCGCAAGTTTATTGTTTTCTGTTTGGTATTAAATTATTAATTAAGATCCATTTTGTTACATCCGGTGATCAGTTTATTTGGCAATCGCCAATGGCAGTCAGCAGGGTTTAAGAACATCCGTTGTTCGACCTGTTAGTCAAATGCGTTTTGTTGAAATATACTTTTTCACTTTTTTGGCAGTCTTTTGGAAAATGTTGTTTGTGCTGTATTTAGACCCCTCTCAATCGCGCATAGTGTTTGATATTTAAAAGTGTATCTATGATTAGCATTTTACTTATCCAAAGATTTGAGAATTATCAAAGCTAGTTTTATTTCTTATTATTGAGTCATCATGTAATTATCCTGGATATTTGCTAAATTGACAGATAATGGTTTTGTTCATGTCTTTTTTTTTATATCACACGAATTTCGTAGTACAGATTTGACTACCGCTAGGGAACCCATCCCTGCGGAAACAGTCGGGTGGGTGTGAACAAACCCAACCCTGCTGAAAAATTGTCAACTTTTAGTCTATTTTCCTTCTTCAATTCGAGCTTGAGAGGTGAACATTGACAAAAGTGTGTTTCATTGTCATGTAATTATTAACGTGTAGTTTTATAGCAACGCATCCCTGTTGACTAGAAGTAAATGTGATTTCATTGTCTTGCTAGGGAAATATTAATTAGTGGCATGCCAGGTCAGCCGAATTGTCCGTTTTTACAGATTTCTGTCAAAAAGTGGCCTAGAGTTTACAGACCTGAATTTGTCTTGGCATATAATAACCTCCTTTTGTTTCTGAACTACCTACGGATGTATTTAGGATACTAGTAAATACCTACGACCGATACCATAATATTAGTTCCAAGTGGATGAAATATTCTGGAATATTATTTCCACTTGAAGATGTATTACAGTATTTGTTCCTTATGGTATAAAAGTAATAGAATATGTGTTCCAACAGGAACTGAAATAATAGCATTGATTATAACAAAGTTTTCAGAGGAACTTCTGTAAGGATGACAAAAATTATACGTTGAAAGTTCAGATGTAGAGTTTTTATAAGTATATTGCCATATGGGCTGTAAAGAAATGGCTGTTGGAATCACAACTTTAGGCGGGATTGGGAGCGAATGTGCTAATTAGACAGAAATATAATGTTCGACCTAGGTCTTGGAAAATTGTACATTCTCTTTACCGGTATTGTTTGCAAATTCCATACATGATATATTTGCTAATTATTTAATTATCATAGAAGAATCGTTTTACTGCATTATTAAAAAGACAAGCCCAGTTCTAAACTAATATATATTTAAAGTAAGAATACAGAGATCGAAATAAGCCGGGCGTCTTGAAGAATACATACTTTTAGTATCAATTTCAAGACAAAATTTGTAAAAGGATTAATTGGGAGAAAGTCAGGAAAAAAAAGATTTCCAAGAATTTTTTTAAGTCCAAGAGTCGTTGAGGTAGATCTGCGAAAAGTCAGATGACCAGAACGAAATCCAAACTCGATTTTTAAGTCAGCAATATACATTTATTTACATGCCAATATCTGCAGACACAATACAAAAAAATTCAGACAACTGTTTGATTTTAAAAAAAAGGATGGAAGGACGGGCATGTAACACGGTACATCCGGACACTATTGGTGCTGGAATAGAACATATTGATATCCATATTTGTCCTGGTTATTTAGATGTTTTTTTTGTTATTTTCCATTTTCTATACTTAATTTTCATTATTAAATGATAAATGTATAGCTTGATAACTTGCAGCTTGTGGCCCATGGATTTTTTTTTTCGAATTAGTTACATCTGATATTTGTATATTAAATAAATAATTTCTAAAATTTAATGAAAACATGTTTTAAAAGATTAAACTACTAATAACCTACATTACCGAACTCCGATTTAAATAAAGTCAATGTTTTAAACTGACAATGCAGCTTTGTGTATATCTTTAAATACAATTTGGTCAGCTTGTATATTATACTAGTCTAGATCCCTTGTCTCCAGTTAAGCTATAAAATTACATTGGGTCAGTTATATGAAATATCTTCAAACAAATTTTATTAATTTGCTAGGATTAGATGTATGCTAATTATGTCTTGCATATATACTACATTTGCTTTAGGCAATCATCAATTCGTAAAATCATTATTTTCAGTAAATCACGACAAAGCTTCTATAATACGCATCGCAAGAGCTTAACAGTTATAATACAGCAGAATCCCGTTATAAGAAGATATTGTATTTGATACAATATTCTAGTATTAACGAGCCTTTATTAACGGTTTTTATGTGTATATTATAATAATCAATTATCTGATGTAAGGTTTTATTGTGGATCTTATATAACAATAATTTATCAGTATATTAGATCAACAGTAAATGAACATCTATGGATGTTCTGTGAAATATATTTTGAAGTCCTACTTGATTACAGCTATTATAGATCTATGACAGCGAAATTTAAATGTCATTAATGTTTACATGCCAAGTTAAGTTCAGTGAAGTGGTAATATTGGAACAAATTCAGATAAATCGAGTGAAATTGACATGATTTTCTATTTGGAATATTGATATCGATATGGTAAGTTCATTTAATTTGTAAATGTTTATAAACGGTTCAAAATATTACGACCAACTTAAATTTCGTATGAATATTAGAAGATATTGTATAGTAAAAATTACACCTGCATGTATCTGATTGGATTTTTATTTTTCTCTAATAAATAATATAAAGAAAATTTTCCTGGATAGAAAATATCAAAATGATGAAAACAAAATGCAACTCTTATTTCTTTTAAAGATGTTTTTATCAAACCATCGCATAATTCGGTAGAAGTCACAGTGATCTCAACTTCTTTTAAATATGTCAAAAAATGAATACAACACTTTATAAACGTCATGCGTCCGAAGCGCTTTTATGGATTTACCTTTATCAGGACGCTCAAAGTCGAACAGAAATCGACGTAGAACATTATGACCAAAACGTACTACAAATAATAGCCAAATCCATCTAAGGTCAACTTAAGGTATAGTAACAATAATAGAGAATAGACAGAAACTTTGTTATGTGTTGTTCTATGAAAGTTTGCATTAAAAGAGATTAAGGGATATTCTTCGTTCCTTAGGTTTATGATTCCTCGATCTAAACAAATCAATGAGCAAATGACATCTTATGATTAAAACAATATTAAACTTTATATACATGTACTTATTACGTTTATTTTAATTTGAATTTTGTTTGTTATTAGTATTATGTAAAAACTGTTTAATTTACGTACGTTGGGACGTTTTATTGTGCATTTGCTTGTTTAAGTGCAATTTCATTTCATTTGGATAGAGTATTATGATTCCTTGCTATCTTTGGTATCTTTATTCATATCAGAATACGCTCTGGTGCTTTTTTTTATCGAAATCTATTCTTCCTTCATTATTGTAAATATGAGAACAAAACAGAAACTCAATGACATTGTTGTTGTAATTAAGAATACTGTCTGCATCCTGTAGAACAGAATACAACCTGTGTCTCATGACGTTAGAGAATCCAATTAGTATTGTTAACAAAACAATCTCTCACTCGAATATTTTGTTGACAAAGTGTAAATGTCCTATAGGTAAAGTACAAACGTCCTTAAAAGAGCGTGAATGTCCTTAAAATTGAAGCGGAAATGCCCATTAAAAAAGCGCAAACGTCCTACCAAAAAACACAAACGCTCCGCGCCGGATATCGCATAGACTCAATAAATGTTTTCTCTGGTCGGGGAAATAAACAAAGGTGCTCCTAACTGTTATTCCAGCGGCAAAACAGGCGCTACAATGACACACAACGGCACGATAAGTATGTTATTTCATCATGACGAGGAATTACTACTAGAGGGGTTTTAACGACCTTGACTACCCATGAGGGTCTTGCACGGTCGGTTACATGACGATGTTAATTAAAAGGATCGCACACATTCCGGCAAACATTCTGAAAGCATAAATATTGTTCAATCATTTAAAATACAAACATAAAAGTTAATGTATGAACTATTTGCCATATATTGAACAAGTTTCTATGTTCCGCTATTATATTATCTAAAATAATCCCTTTGTTTGGACCGAGCCATGATCTAAGCACGTAATATAACACTTTGTAAAAATAATCGGAGGGGTCGGTAGATGGCTTTTTTGCAAGACATTTTCCACATTACCAAAATGCATGCCGTCAATACTAGCGGCAGAAAATGTTTCCAAAATTTCTTATCGGTCCACCCACTAATTATTTAAAACTTGTATAACCTGAGACAAATGCTGGCTATCAAATGAAGATTCAAGTCGGGATAAAGTTATACAGTTTAATTAACTGTCCAACAGGAATATATAAGATGTTACAATGTTGATTGTGGTATTTACGATTAGAGTACCTTTCCAAAACTGAATATAAATTATTTTAAGAAGTATATAAAACCTTATAATAACGAAATACATGTAACTATGAATTTAGCAATTATTGTCCATTTTTAAGATAATCTGCTAAAACTGTCTTTGACACGTAGATACATAGTCCGTTATCGGATTTGTAGAAACCTACATTTTAATTCAAAAGACAATTATATGGGAAAATTTTAGCTTTACGAGTCAATTAAAAGGTATAATTATTTAAGTCCGAAAGATGAAAGTCCAAATAATTGACATGGTTTTCGTCCGGTCATACTTTACTGATAAATTGTATATACATTTAACTGATTCTCCTCCTGAATCTGCACGACAAAATTGACTGTTAACCATATAACAATCGATATTACAAATACAAATGAATATCCAAAATGTAAATAGAACTTTGACATCTTTAATGTCTACATTTTCGTTATATCTAAATGGCTAGAACACATAATAGTGATTTACTACTCCCTGTTAAATATGTTACATTGTATATACCTCCATCAATATTGTTTCGTGATAATTGATACTTTGTTCCGATATTGCAATATAATTTAAATAATTAATAAATCAATAAAGTCATTCATAACGTTTAACAAACTTGTAAATACGTTTCAATTATAGTATTATTTGTACGTTGCTATATAAACACATTTATTAAAAGGACACATGACCTAAAATTATCCTTATGATTATGCATGCCGATAATTTCGTAGTCAGCTATAGTAAATAGCTTGCTCTGAATGAGGTTATAATGACTTCAATTTCCTTCATCCAAAATATACCCCGTGAAAATATTCATCTGAACTCCAGTAAAGGCTCGGTTACTTTGTATCTCACATTGAAAAAAGGAGATTTTGAGTATACGTCAATGAGACAGCAACTCGACGATACAAAAAAAACAATAGACACCTAGAAGTCAACAAACGACCTTTGAAAACTAGCAGGTATCTATATGTTAGCGGCAATAAGTGAAATTAGGCATTAGCTTAAATCCTAGGCGATAAGTTAACGGCTAGGCAGTAAGTCTATTCCCTACATAATGTAAGGTATTACTCTTAAATCCTGAAAAATTTGTTCAGGGATTAACCTTCATGCCTAAAATGTAAATGAGAGTAAATAAAAAGACATTTATTCAAAGTTAAAATACATTTGGTACATAATATATAACATAATAAGAACTGAAGTTTTATATGTCAATTACATTAGTACCTGAAACAAAAACATTACTTAAATGAAAGATTTGTAAAGTTATTAGAACATTGTGCTAAAATTATTTGTTACCACAAGGTGGGGAGCTGTGGCACGGACTATTACACACAGTTTCACTTTTTTCTTGTAATTGCACCATAAGAAATTTATAGTTTGATTCGAAATCCATTCAATCAACCTGTCTGTCCTCTACTGTTTAACTCTTTGGATAAAATGGGTTCAACTACTACGCCTTTCCCTATGTGCTTTTTAGCTCGCCTGACCCGAAGGTTCTAGTGAGCTTTTCTCATCACTTGGAGTCCGTTTAATTTTACAAAAATCTTTTCCTCTAAAACTAATGGCCAAATCGGAACCAATTGTGGCCACAATCATCACTGTGGTATCATTGAGTCCACCGACCATTATGGCTGACCTGGCTAAAACCAGAGCAAAGCGTTAAAATGCAAGTTTGTCTATCATCCTGAAAAATAAAACAGATAGATAGAAACTTTAAAGAGCAAAACTGATGAGCAAGACTTTTTAGTCAAGATTGCCGAAATCGTCAGTCAGTTCTACATACCTATTTTTGCATTGTTAGGGAGCAACCATTTAACTTCAAGGGGGAGGGGGTTATGGTTTTTTGTCTGAGTCAGAATTTTTTTTCTCGTGCAAATCAATTTTTTTTTAGTCTTTCGACGCTATCAATCAAATTATTTATTTCACTTTAACACTTTAAGGTATGGGGAAAATCTGGATTCAGAATATTTTTTTTTATCATCTGCTAGACCACAATATTTTTTTTTCATCAAATTGGGGATCAGAATATTTTTTTAGGAAAAACCATAACCCCCCCTCCTTGAAGTTAAATGGTCGTTCCCTTAGGTTATACTTTGGCGAATAAAGAAAAATTGTAAATAACTTTGGTGCATTGAGAAAAATTGTAAACCGCAAAAATTATCATTCCATGTATGTTCCTTTTTAAAATTCCATACAGTTCCTCCACAAAAACATAAGTTTTGAAATTTCAATCATCATTCTACTTTACTTGAGTTATCAACCTATGAATGTATATCAATATTATGATTTAGAAATACTATCCATCAATAATATTTCACCGAATGTACACGTATTTGGAAGATAAAACAAAATTTTGAAAAAATCACTTATTGCCTGAAATGATGTTCGGCAATAAGTTTAAAAATCTTCATCAGATTTCAGGAAATAAGCTTAATGCCTGGAAATTTCAGGCAATAACTTAATGCCTAGGCGTTAGCTTATTCCCTAGGATTTAATCTTAATGCCTAATTTCACTTATTGCCGCTAACATATATATACAATATCACAAGCCTAAAATCTTAATTGTAAAAATAAGGATATGTGGTATGTAGTTTTGAATGAATCTAACAGAGATTATCAAATAACGGCCAACAAATATCGTTTTCTCTATTTTTTTGTACTATCATGTACCTGCAAATAAATGATACGGGAATGTCACCATATTCTATAAAGCATTAAAATACAGAAAGTCTAATTGTAATTGTATGATCAATTTTCTAAATTAATATGTAAATGAAAATGATTTGTAAACAAAGGGAGTGTTACTGTTAGAAAAAAACAAAAGTTGATGTTTACCGAGTTTAAAAAAAGCAACTTTAAATGAGTTTGATAAGAAAAATGTTAGTTACAGTTGAGTAGCATTAACATGAATGATTTTAAGTAGGAACCACATTGCATTTATTACTTCTCGTGAATGTCAATAAATTCATTCATCTCATTGTTTAAAGTTCTTACGAGATACCAGATAGTACAGCTACTTAAGTAATCATATTGAACTTAATTAGTTTGTTGGCCTCTTTGAAGTGCAGGGTAATGTAAACAAATGGCGAGTTAAGTGAAGATAGTGTGTCGGAAGGAATATTGAAAATTCAGAGATTCATTTTTATGAATAAATAAGATATGGCTATAATTCAA